AAAAAAAAGTAGATTTTGACGGTAGAATGGTGGGCAGACACAATCAATGGAGAAAGATCTTTGTAAAAGCAAAAGATGGAATGCAGTTAGGGAGTAGTCCTAGGTTGGTGGGGGGGGGAATCTTCCCTTGTAAAGCAACAGGAATAATTTGTGGAATAATTTGTGGAATTCAAGGATGTTCACAGGTAGGATAACAATAGTTTGAGACATTTGTTTTTTTTTAAATTATCACTCCTATTTTCTTTGGGAAGAAACAAATGAAGGTGTAGTGAAGTGGAGAATCTGGTGCTTTAACCAAAAACAGAATGATAGGAGTGGCCAGCATGGAATGTCAGAGAAAGTTCTGGTTGACAACAGAATGACTTCTGAGCACTAGTAAAGGCACCATTGAGGTTGATCTCGGTTATTGTGTAATAGATTGTGACACATTTGGATTATTGTGCAATGTCCTCCAGCACTGCTCAGCAGCCCCTGTGTAGGAGTGGAGACAGCGGATCAAAGAGATTTTCAGCTGGCCTTTGGTCAGAGTAGAGGAATGGTAGGATAAAGAAATAAAGGACCAAACCAACCAGTTACTGAGTGTTTTGAGTGAGTAATGAATTAAGCAGAAAAGCAAAGGATAGAACAGGAAACAGCGGCTATGTCAGGGTTTGAAGTGTCCTTAAATTTCAAATAAAATATAATATTAACAGGATGAGAGAACTCAAAGTACCAAAGACTTAGTGGAGAGCTGGATGATTGAATGTGAGGTTTCAGAGTTAAAACAGATGTGAGATTGTAAACAGAGCCACATTTTTCAACTAGAATTAGAAATATTTCAGCGTTCATGTCTTGGGTCCACATGGATGACACACTGTCAGGGAGACTCGTCACTGCACAGTGGTGAAGAGGGTGTGTTTAGGGGCCAGACATGCTTAGCCTAGATGTTAGTTCCACACCCAACCTTGTGAGCTCAGGGGAAGCCAACCTCTGAAGTCATTTTTCTCACTTACAACTGGTGATAACCACAGTTTCTGCTTCCCAAGATTTTGATAGGGATTCATGAAATCATTCATATTAAGTGTTTAATACAGCCTATGATATAGAATATTTGAAAAATATTAACTTTATTATGTGTCTTCTAAATACTTTCTATATTGTTCTTTTGAATCATGGTAACATCCTCAGGACTTGTATTAATTAAACAAAGAGAAATATTCCAATTAGGTAGAGCTCTTACCAAATTAAATAAGACTATCTACAGCCTAGACAGTCTAGAAAAATAATGTGCAAGAAAAAATAAAACTAAATGTTTTTCTTGTATGGAAAGTTATCCAGGCAATTGAAATTTGCAATTCCACCATTTTGCAATATTTTCTGATGATTTGTAGAAATAAAATATGGAGAACACATTCTTGTCTTTCAAGATCAAATTGCAAGTAAACTGGTGGGAGTGGAAAGACAAGTTTCTGGTACATGCCTCACTGCCAATCATAAGCTCTGCTGTGTTCATTCCAACTACAGTGGAAATCATCATAATCTAATGGACAAGTGAACTGTAATGCTTAATCAAAATATATTTTGATCATTCACTCATTTAGTGCATTTCATACTGTAAGCACTTGCCAGCATTACAATTGCTTAGAGAACTTCATCTAATGAAAGATAAAGAATACCCTGGTTAATATAAATACACAATGGACTATTACTCAGCCTTAAAGAATGAAATTATGGCATTTGCAGGCAAATGGATGGAGCTGGAGAATATCATGTTAAGCGAAATAAGCCAATCCCAAAAAATCAAAGGCCAAATATTTTCTGTGATAGGCAGACACTTATTCACTAAATAGAGTACTTTGGATTAGGCAGAGGGAAATAAATGAGGGGAGGGAATATGAGGGTAGGAAGGATAGTAGAATGAATCAGGCATTATTACCCTATATGATTACACAACCGGTGTGATTCTACAACATGTACAACCAGAAGAAGGGGAAGTTTTTTTTTGTTTTGTTTTGTTTTTTAAGAGAGAGTGAGAAAGGAGAGAAAGAGAGAGAGAGAGAGAGAGAGAGAGAGAGAGAATTTTTTTTTAATATTTATTTTCTAGTTTTTGGCGGACACAACATCTTTGTTTGTATGTGGTGCTGAGGATCGAACCCGGGCCGCACGCATGCCAGGCGAGCTCGCTACCGCTTGAGCCACATCCCCAGCCCAAGAAGGGGAAGTTATATTCCATTTATGTAAGATATGTCAAAATGCATTTTACTGTCATGTATAAATAATTAAAAGAAAAAGAAAAAAGATGTGAAACAGACTTTCCTATATGCAACAGAATATTGTTGTGTTTTGTCTCTAGGTTTGTGTTTTTAATTCTTAAACACTTGATATTTTTGTTGGCTTTTCGTTTTTCTTTATGAATAGATTTCCACTAATAAGTCCTGCCCTCAAGAAAATTTCAAGCATTCATGTACAAACAAAAGAATAGGGAGTTGTACTCCATGTACACATACTGTGTCAAAATACATCTGCTGTCATGTATAACTAAAAAATAGTAAATAAAAAATTTTAAAATAAGAAAAACAGGCACTGGGGTTGTGGTTCAGTGGTGGAGTGCTCGCCTAGCATGCATGGAGCACTGGGTTCGATCCTCAGCACCACATAAATGTAAAATAAAGATATTTGTCCATCTATAACTAAAAAATAAATATTAAAAAAAGAAGAAAAACAAATAAGCAAGCATGATTCCCGTAGGAAACTCCAATAACCATCAGCAGTTGCTACCAGCCTTACAAAACCACAATTGTTTTCTATCCTTATAGATTCACCTATTTTGGACATTTCATATAATTGGGATCATATGATGAGTGATTGTGAAACATAATAGACAATTTAGAAAAAAGTGAAATTTTCTAAAGAAAACTGCTGGCCTTGGGAGGGCCTCCCCTCATTTTCTGTGATCTAGACTTTACCCTAGTCCCACAGAAATGCACTCCCAATCACCGAGAAAAATCCAGCTTCTATGGAGGAAGTATGGAACTGAGCAAAGATAAAATGTCAATCACTTCATTTCAGATCTTTTCAGCTTTGTGGACTGCTCAGCAGGAGGGGCTTAAAAAAAATGTACAAACAAACATCCTTCTCTCTTTTGCTGTTTGCTGGACTCTCCGTGGATTACCCTGTCCTCATCATTGTACCAGGCTTTTCCAACAACTAAAGTCACAAAACATGAGATTTGGGGGATTTAAGAAGATAATTAATCCAGTTGCTTGTGTTGACAACTAACTTTAAAATCCAGAGGAATGCAGATAATCTGCAACTCAAAATAATTTTTTGTTTGTTCAACTAATTCATCTTGGGAATTACAATGCCATCTGGATTGAAGGCTCCAGATGGTAATCACCAAGCTTGTGTTCCTCTGCCTTGTTTTACCCTCTACACACGTAGCTCCTCTGGGACAGTTGAAAAGGTAGCCCTGTCCATTCCCCATCACTGGATTTGATCAAAACAGAGATCAGGACTGTAGACCATGCATAGTTATATACCCAAACAAACAGAAAAGTGTTCCATTTCCTCTCAAGGGTACAATGAGTTGACACTTTATTGGCTAAAAAGTTGAGAAGAAATATCTCTTTTCTGCATTTCACTCAAACATTCTGGAACTACTAAAATGTACCCAGACACATATTCATTTCATAAAAATTTAGTGTGTCTTTGCAAGAAAAATATTCATTTTAAATATTTCTTACAAAGGTAAGTTTCTTACCAGATAGTGGGTTTTATTCTTATGGTAACTGATTCTGAATTATGATCTAAAGGAAAATATCATATTAAATATTTTCATAAACATCTGTATGTGATGGGCAGGGTGGCATGTTCCTGTAATCCCAGTGGCTCAGGAGTCTGAGGCTGAAGAATTGTGAGTTCAAAGGCAGTCTCAGAAACTTAAGGAGGCCCTAAGCAACTTAGTGAGACCATGTCTCCAAATAAAAATATAAAAATGTCTGGGTAGGGGTTGAGTATTTAGCTTAGTGGCTGAGGACTTGCCTAGCATGTGCAAGGCCATGAGCTCAGAACTTGTCCCTGTGGGGGGGAAAAAATGGCTGAAGATGTGACTCAGTGATTAAGTGCCCCTAGATACATTCCCAGTACAAAAAAAAAAAAAGAAAGAAAGAAAGAAAAATTCATATGCTTTTACTTTTTTTGAAATAATAAATACTATTAGCTTTTATTTATCAAAAAATCACAAGCTGTCTTTAAAGATTTATTTCCAGTCATGTTTACTTAATTTTCTTTAACTTTTGGGGAAATTTAGACTCCTATGACAAGTTTGTTTAGCTTATGTTACCAAAAGTTCATTTTTTCAGTTGAGTATGGTAAATCTTTTTCTCACTCTTGTGTTTGTCTTCTTCAAGCTTTTTGTTTATTCAGTTGGCTTGCAATATATTTACACAAGAAAGGCTTTTTCCCCCAGTTTTCCTGAAGATATGCAATAAAATATCTCATAAGTTGTTTCATCTAAGATGATCTCTTTTTGTTGTTGTTATTTTGTACCAGGGATTGAACTCAGGGGTGCTTAACCACTGACCCACATCCCCAGCCCTTTTTATTTATTTTTTAATTTTGAGACAGGGGCTCACTAAGTTGTTGAAGCTGGCTCTGAACCCGTGATTCTCCTACCTCTTCTAAGCCTCATCTAAGGTAATTTTAGCTGCCCACTAGCCACAATGTTTAGCTGCTGATCAACAATTCAGAGATAAAGGTGAGACTCAGAGAAAAACGTGATCTTTGACAATAGCATGTGTTTGATGCCAGTTCTGCCTTGGGACCTTGGACAAGTTACTGGATTAGTTTAAAGTACTATTTCTGTATCCAGAATATTCATTGATGAATTCATGATATCTAAGAGAAACAACATAGTAGAGCATGATTTTGGATTATATTAGGATTTTGATAAATAGTAGGCATTAAAATTGCTTATTAAAACACCTATGAATCTATTTTAACAACATGGATAACTGTTAATGAGGACATATATGAAGTACACATCAATAAATATGCATTTTGTTTCTTGTTTCCTCTTCCAGGTCCCAAACATCATTAGTCCTATGTCCTGCAAAACGTTTTCTGAAGTATTCTTATTTGGAGAACTATAAAAGCAATAGAAATAATATAATGCTCACCTAGAATGATACTAAATGACATAGAAATAACCATAACTAATATATATTGAGGACACACCACATGCCCTTATTCTAATACACTGTAATTATCTCTCCTTTCCACTTTAAGGTCACAGAATCTGTCTCTCTAAAGCCTGTGATCTTAATGGTGGTACTAATGCCTCTTAAATGACATGTTATCCTTATCCAAGAACTGTGAGTGGCCCATCAGAATGTTCTCTGCACCAGACCCAGTAATGGTAGTGAATGGGAAGAAATAGCACAGGTCTCTGTCAAACTTATCCCTCTGGTTAGGCAGTCTGATTCTACATTTGTTGCTTGGAAATGCAAGATTAATAAAAGGTAGCACAAGTTTTTGTTTTTCACAAATCATTTCCAAGTCATCCTTTGAAAATAATGGAAAGTGACAGTGATTTCAGGGTTGAATTTCCTTTGGAACCACAAACTTTAACAGGTTAAAGAGGAAAAAAAGAATCCTTTCATTTTCTTTCAACAGACCTACTAAGTATTTCTTTAGAAGAAAATAACTCATTAGAAAGAACACGCTGTCCTTTTATATACCAACTTCTTCCTCTAATCATATAATCAGTTTAGTGTCCCAAAAATGATGTAAATACTATTTAATTTACTAGTCAAGTTGGCTTATGGAAATTACTACTTAGCATGATTGCCCTCAGGATAAAGAACAAACAGGTAAGGGAAAAAAATCTATTTAATAAGGTCATTTATCTTATTAAAGACACTCTCAGGTCTAGACTAGCAAATTATACATCTGAGCAAAAGTCTAAAAATTATACCAATTATCAAAAAAATCAAAATAATTTCCTATGGTCTCTAAGTAGCAGACCTTCACTCTGTGGCATTTACAAAAATATTAACATTAGAAAAAAGTCACTTACCTGTTTCATACGCCCCTGTATTTTTGACTCCACCTCTTCAATGTGTGAGATTGTTTTGTTGACACATGGAGCTGGGATGTTTACATTAGCACAGCTCTGACGTCGACATGGGTAGTTGAAGTAGAGGCCTGTATTCACCTCTAAAGGTATAGCAGGTAGAGGAAATAGTCAGTAGTTATATACAGAGTTACACATCTTGTTGTTCAGGATATGCAAAAAAAAATATTCTACCATATTAGTGCTAATATTCTTAAAGTTTCTCTGATAAATGGATTGAAAAGATGTTTAAAAATTATGAATAAGTTGGGTGTGTTGGTGCACACCCTTAATCCCAGTGGCTTGGGAGCCTGGGGGAGGAGGATCACAAGTTCAAAGCCAGCCTCAGCAATTTAGTGAGACCCTGTCTTAAAGTAAATAAAAAAGGACTAGATGTGTAGCTCAGTGGTAGAGACCCAGGGGTTCAATCCCCAGTACCACACACATCCCCAAAAAATTATATAATAAACTTCCAAAAATGTAAAAGCTAAAATAAAATAATCATCTGGGATAATTTCATGTAACAAATAAAAATAAACATGAAAGAAGCCTGTATTTGACAAAGTTACAATGTTAATGTGTTCTACTACAATATGACAAAACATTGAAAAAAATGAAAACCAAAAAACTAGTTTAATCCATTTTAAATAGATCCTGAATCACTAAGACTGATACAAATATATTTCAAATGCACCCTTCAAACAGATTTTATATCTTCCAATGTAAATAATATCTAAGTACTCATGTATTAAAGTTCTTCCTTGAATCCACTAGGAGTTTCTCTTATTAAAAAAATAAAAACAGGTCTCCTTCATCCTCATAATAACCTCATTTTCTACCTTCCATTTCTGAAAATTGGAGTCTCATGCAAAGAGTGATTGATGTTCTCACTATAGCATTCAAACTGTACTCATCATAAAATCCACTCAGTCCGATATGCCTCAGTGATTGTAATCCTGGCATGTCCCAATCGACTGAAGGTTGCAGAAGCAAGGCAAAGTTGTCCATGAAACTCCACCAAAGTGCTTACTTGCAGTCCTGGGGCTCTGAGGACTCTATTGGGTGGGATTATAGTCGCAATCATTGATCTTAAAAGGGAAACGCAAAAATGCATTTGGTGTCTCAATGAGAATAGTGTGATGTCCTCATTTCAGTTGACCTTGGGGAACACAGAAGTAAGGCTGTTGCCATTTTCAATGACAGCCCATAGAGGTGGTAAATATTTGCAATATGTTCACTAGCTATAGTCTTTTAGATGAAGCTTTATAGAATCCTCCTCCATAGCAACAATCTCTATAAAATGACATGTCTATTTCATTTATAAGTAAAAGTGTTCATTCTTTCCCATGTATTTGACTGTGTATATATGTTTCTAACACTAACATTTTTTAGCAGTAAAAATAAGCACCAGCCACAAGACAAAGCTAAACACTTTCCATGCCACATTTTGCTGACAATCTGATGAAGCAATATTATTTTCTTCTTTTCATCGATGAAGAGATCAAAAATTTAGATAAGTTACATACCTCAAACAAGTCCAAGGAGGGAGGTGGGAGAAATGAACTTGAACTACAGTCTCCCTGGTTATAAAATGTAAGCTACACTATGTGGGCTATTTTATTACTTTAAATGTATGGCAAAATAGAGTCCTCAAAATGTATTTCAGGGTATGTCAAATAGTTCACATATTGATTATTTTTAAATACTTGAATGTTTCTTTATTGTATTTGTGCTAATATCCTAATATATGTTAGCTTGCTTTGATCGTAATCTGAACACATATACTTGCAATGACTATTCCATGTGTGTTCAATTCCATATTTCCTCTTTATTTCACACACACACACACACACACACACACACACACACACATTTTGATCTCTGAGATTGTCAAAAGACCAAAAACCAAGCTGGTAAAAATTATATTATTGGGGCTGGGGTTGTGGCTCAGAGGTAGAGCGCTCGTCTACCACACGTGAGGCACTGGGTTCGATCCTCAGCACCACATAAAAATAAAATGAAGATATTGTTTCCACCTATAACTAAAAAATAAATATTTTTAAAAAATTATATTATTGATTTTCTATCTAAATAAAATTAATAAGGACATTGTGGCCTTCCCTCTGGAAATAAGATTTCAATACACATTGAACAAGCAGGCAGTTGCTGTTACAATCAAAACATCTGTTTTCCTTCATTAGACGTAGGGGAAACAAGGTTAGTAGTGATTCATTTCATATTTTTCTTGACTGTGCCACTCCTAGCCTCATTTTGTGAATACTAATTAATTTCCACACACTCCTACAGTTCAGGATTATGGTTTCACATATGGCAAAAGGGAGATATTAAATACTACGAAATTAAATTGGCAGTAAAATCTGTAAGAGACATGACATCATAAACACCACAAGATGGAAGCAGAACCCAGGAGTTCTTATGGCTGTTTGTATGCCAGTGCATGCTGGGTATAAGTTAAAACTTTTTCTTTTTCATTTTCCACAGTTTAAGGAAACAGTATGATATAACCAAAATATCACAGAACAAGATGTCTATGATAACTTTTTTGCTTGTCTGACAAGTAGTTGTTTATCTTTAGTTAATACTTACTCAGTCTCTAGTCCTCAGATTTCTCCATCAATAAATGAATGAGTTAGTAGGAGGTTATATGAGATCTTTTTTCACCCAAAATTCTGATACAATAAATTGATAGTTTTTGTCAAATGTCAATGGATGGAGCATGTTCAGCATGCTGTCTGAATCCCAATGGTCAGGGTGGGTATTTAAAGTATCGAACCCAGGCAGGACTCTCATCCTCTAAACAAGCCCCAGGCTCCAACTTTCTTGCTCAGAATCAATGCATAAAAGGCAAGATCCTCCTGGCTCTAAGCCAGAGCTGAAGTTTGCTGAGACTTTGCAACATGAAACTTCCATTTGGGGAAAAATCGAGACTGGTTGATTACACAGGTAAATGAAAGAGAAATATACTTTGTTTATAAACTGTCAATTCTCCCTGCTCAGTGAATTTGATCCTTATATAATTTATTCACCCTGTCCCCATAATTTAGCATTTTATCACTACAGTTCTTTCTTACCTTCTGCTTTTAATATGTGCTTTCTTTATATCCATCACACCAATAATTCTATCAGCCTTTTATCTCGTCTCAACACTCTTAGGAAAAAGTTAGCTAAACACAGATTCCTTCACATATTGTTATAGCTTTTAACATTTTGGTTTTTCTTTTCAGCCTGTAAAATAAGCCAGTGCTCTTAAGCTTAGAAATAATTCCTCTTCTATGTGAAGTCTGTTGTGATGAACAGCAAGTATTTTCAATCTTTTATGGAAAACAGATCTTTTTTGTTTTTATTACACATGGGGGTGGATAAAAAAATACCTTTCCCTGAATTGGAGTTATTATATTTTCAATGGACCTTGCACTGGTGAAGATACGTATTGACTCTGTAGAATAACATGCACACGTTCTCAGAGACAGAGGTGAGTAAGAACTGCCCCTATTCCAGCCTCATTCCATGTACAAATGCCCCTGCTCAGTGATCACTTGTTGCTCTCCCTCTGACTCTTCAAAGTCTTCAGCTTGAAAACATTTACTTTAGCTTCACTGGAGTAATTGCATATCTTCCAACAACTTTGCCTGACCATTTCCGATGATTCTCATTGTATGTTGTATTTTGCTATGACTAGCATTCCTTTTCAAACCAGCAGTTTATACCAGCAGCCATAGTATCCTCATGTTCTGATCTCTTCTTCAAACTACAATTCTATACAAATATTAAAATCCCTCTTATATGAATCCTTCCCTATGGAAAATTCTCAAATCTTTTAGACATGAGTGAACCTACAATACTTACGGGTTTTCTCTACCAGAACTGATCCCACTGCATTTTGCTGTAGATTAGTATATCTGTCTGCCCATCTACCTTCCCATGGAGATTTATGTTCTTAGAGAAAGCACATTTACTGTCTTAAAACAATTGTTGAATAAATGAATGAGCAGATAAATTCCTCTATTGTATAAATCACATTGCAATCTGGTTTCTGTTCTCTCCACTTTATAGAAACTTCATTCCCAAAAACCACTAAGTGGGATTTCCATTACCGTCCCCGAAAGAGTAAGTGATATAGAACTGGTATGGCCGTTATAAACAACTCTAAATCTGGGTTACAAACATGAGACAACTACTTTAAGACATTGGAAAATAGGCAATGCAAGGCTACGATTCCCCCCAAAAAAGGGAAATCCGTGAACCTGAGTCCCACCATCACTAAGCCCTCTGCCAAGGGACAATTTCTCAACTGTGACAGAGAGATCTGGGAAAAGAATGGAGCTTGCCAGCCCTGCTGGGTGGAAGTGCAATTAATTCTGTGGACAGTGGAAGCATCTGGAATCCCCGGGGCCAGCAACTGAAGAAGGCAACAACGCAGAGAATGCCCCGGAATCCCAAATTTCTACCCCAATGGATAAATAGATAAATTTTACGGTATGCATTCAAGGGAATGCTTTTGTGCAAGATATGTGAACAAACAGCTGATACATGTAACAAAGTGAATTTATTTCACAGAAGTTTTCCTGATTTTTTGAAAGAAGTTGAACACAGAAGAGTACAAATTGAATGATTCCATTTATTTAAATTTCAGAATGATAAATCTAAAACCAGGGGCTGGGGATGTGGCTCAAGCGGTAGCGCACTCGCCTGGCATGCGTGCGGCCTGGGTTCGATCCTCAGCACCACGTACAAACAAAGATGTTGTGTACGCCGAAAACTAAAAAATAAATATTAAAATTCTCTAAAAAAAATAAAATAAAACCATATTAGTGGTTGTGGTAGTGGTGGGAGGGGGGCGGTGAAGTAATATTGACTACCAAGGAACACGAATGAAGTTTCTGGAAAGGTAAAAATTTTTACATTCTGTTTGAAGTGGTCCTTAAATGGATGTGTATATTTGTCAAAAGTCATTGATCTGTAAACTTAAGGTGAGTGGATTTTATTGTATTTAAATTTTACCTTGCTAAGTATTTTTTTTTTTTGCTAAAACCATCAATAACCATACTCAAGTGACAAAATCAATAGCCTTTCATCATTCTCCTCTCTCTTTT